GTGGTTCCATAAGAGAAAGATGAATAGGGTCTCACGTGAAGTTGGCAATTTCGGTCCAGGCAAGGTGGTTCTCGGCGTTAGTAAGGGCTTCTCGTACTACGACGACTTACACTTTTTAGGTTGGAATAATGATGCTTTGACAGGAATTTTGACTTGGCTAATAGAATTTGTTTCCAAATGAATGGAATAAAATTGTGTTTTATTTGTTTCGTAATATTTAATGGGGATTGTAGCATCTCTTGTAACTAGAAGTGATTTGGGAAAGTTTAATTGGGCTTCGAAGAGTTTTAGATTGTCGAGGCCAATAAGACCATCAAAAGTTTTGTGAAACTTAAAAAGATAAAATTTCATTTTACTGTCAGAATTAAATTTTGAAAATGAATGAATTTCGGCACAATATTTTTGGGAATAAATTTGAAAAATTGATGTGACGACAAGGGGTTCATGTTTTATGTAACTTAAAAAATATGAAGAAGCAATTTCTGGATTAAGAAATGACTTTGCGGATCCTGTATCGATTAAAGGTCGTAAAGAAGGCTTAGAAATTTCGATGTAGGGTAGCTCCTTCTTCTCGGGAAATGAGTGGAGTTCAATTACGTTCCGATTGCTTTCGGTGGGTCCTCTAGAAAATTTACGTTTTCTTCATATTCGGTTGGTTGGTTTTCGTATGTATCTTGTAGCAAAATGTCGTATTCAGATTCGTAGTAATCATTGTAGTTGGAATTATCTTCTTGCTCATCTCCATGGCATTGTATATTGTAAAGTTCTTCTACCGTGAATTTTGGCTGTGCTCGGTAATTTGGTGTGAAATTTTGACGGCCTCTGGTTGTGGTTTCTGATATTCCACTAATAGGTGTTGGTCTAGGCTGCTTTGACTGTCCAAGTTTGGGTGCCCGTACATTTGACTGGTTCTGGGTCATAAATGTTGAAGGGTTTGAATTTTGTCTAGATTGGTTGAAGTTTTGTTGCCGATGTGGTTGCTGGAACTGATTCTGCGGATAGAATTGTCTCGTTGGTTGCTGCCATTTCGGAGCTGCAAAATTTTGCTGTTGATACAATGGTTTCTGGATAGGTACATCCGTCTGCGGTCTTTGAGCTTGGCGTTCTTGATAATTGTCGATTCTTCCTGATGTTGAAGGTTGACTTATTTAATTTTTTTGAAGGTATCGAACATTATTTTCTTCCTGTACATATTGTATTGCCGTTTCTAAACTTCCTGGTCTCATTGCTCTGATAACAGAGCCCATTGGTTCTCGTAGGCCTGCTAAGAATGTTGTAAGAGTTTGTTGACGGAAAAATTCTTTTTTGCTCCTTTTTATATCGGCATTTATGGTATGTAATTCTAGATAATTATTAATACAGCTTAAAAGTCCCATGATCTTTTCATAAAAATGCATAATAGATTCTGTCGAGCCTTGTCATAAATTTACTAGGTCCCTTGTAAGCGAATTTTCGTCTCTCTGGTCTCCAAAATTTTGAATTAATGCGTTTTTTATTTCGTCCCAACATTTGCATCCATATACAGACAGAACTTCTTTGGCTCTGCCAGTTAATTTACTGATAATACCATGAAGCAAAAGTTTGTTTTGTATATTAGCTTAATAGCATTAAGTCTGTCATAATAATGGTTCAGAAGTATTGTAGAAACTTTAATAAATTCATGTAATTCATTTGGATTTCCATCAAAATTTTGAAGAATGCATAAATTTTTAACGTCAAATTGTGGAACTGTCATATTTCAAAAATTTTAATATAATATATAGTCAATAGTCAAATAAGTATAGTAATTTTCAATAGTGAATATATAAATATATCAATCTTAATCTACTTATTTTCTATCTATTAATCTCTAAGTTTATTAATATAGTATTTATTAAGCTATTCAAATTTGTCTTTAAATTCTAAAGTTTCTGAATCTGACTGTAAGGTCAATCCAAAGACTTTTACATATTTTTAAATTATTTTAATCTTTCTGTTAATCTATTCAAATTTTTGTTTAAAATTTATCTTCTAATCTAACTCTTATTCAATCTAAGGACTCAGAGGAGTCTGATTTTATAAAAATTCTTTCGAAATTTAATCTTCTTAATTCTAAGTAATAATAAAAATCGCTTACAGGATAAAGACGATGCCGATGTGCATTTCTTTCCTCCTGAAGGCTTCTAACTTCTAATTCCCTCGGGTGAACTCTGCAGACGGTTTCCTTGGGGCTAGTTCTTGGAACAGTGGACAAACACTTAAAAGTGACGAGGATCTATAAAGATTCTTCCACTTCCAATACCCAGTACTGACTGCGCCAATTATGAATGTTCTTGGGAAAAACACTTTTTTAAAAACTGAATTCACAATTAAAACTTTTATTTTCGACTTGCAAAGATTCTGGATCAAAAAGTCATTAGAAAGATTATGGATGATTTAATTTATATCTACTATAAAACAATGGAGTTTAGTTTTAATTGTCATGGGTAGAGGGTACTTTTGAATAGAAAAAATTAAAATTTATTTTTCTTTAAAATGTTTAATGGATACACCTATTTATTGTACATTATAATGGAACTGGATTAAAGTCGTAACAAAACGGCACAAACCGTATGTTGATAGCTTTTGTAGAAGTCGAAATATGAATAAAAACGCATAAACATAAATAAGTATAGTATTGACTCATCCTTTATTATAACTTAAAATTAAATATGTAAAAAATCTTACAAACATCTCGATCATTAAAACTTAATGTCCAATTAAATGTTTAAATTGTTTTCCATTCGCGCGTAGACATAACAGCTGCTTCAATCTCAGCTGTTGATATACTATTTATTGCGTTTATAATACGCTGTTTCATCTCGACTCGCGTGGTTGGTCAAGTTTGGTACACTAAGTCCTTCAATCTTCCCCACAGATAAAAGTCTAGATATGTTAAGTCTAGAGATTCCCCTTCCAATCCATTTAGTTGGATAACTTGCATACAAATAATCTCGAACTCGTCTGGAAAAGTGCGCAGGACACCCGTCATGTTGTAATATCATATCTCTTCTTGTTTGTAAGGAAATATCTTCCAATAAAACATGCAACTGATTTTCCAGAAAATCCAAATATTTTTCGCCATTTAAAGTTGTATTAAAGATATATGGACCTACGATCTTTCCATCAACACACCAAACCACACACATATACCACACCAAACATTAATACTCCATCTACCTTGAACCTGCACCTCGTGTATCCAATGCAGATTTTCTTTGGCCCAATAATGCATATAATGCAGATTAACACCACTTGCACTATTAAACGTAGCCTCGTCTGTTTACAAAATCTTTGACATGATACGCCATTGTTCTTCTAGCAGACCTAACATCCAATTGCAGTAATTCAGCCTTGCATCAAAATCTCTCTCATGTAAAGCTTGGTGGAGAACTACATGATAAGGATGCAGTCTGAAAGACAGAACAACAAATAGTGTTGAAGAAGAAACCACTATATTTACTAAAACTCAAAAATCTTAAAAAATCTACAATTGTTTCACAAGATAAATCGTGCATAAGTATTTTTAAGAAACGGAAAAAGGGATAAAAGCGCCGTGTTGCTGTTTTTATCGGAATATTAAAATAACATTTGAATCTAAAGTTTCACTTTATAATATGAAAAACCAACCTGTGATGTTTTAAAATACTTCGAACAGTAGTTTTGGGTATGTTTCATTCTATAGAGATTTGCCGACTACTTATATGTGGATTCTGTTGAATTAAAGCAAGAACATTGATTGAATTATCTTTGGTCATACCTCTATTACATCGTTTAAAACAAGGACGATAAAAACTACCAGTATCTCTTAATCTTCTTACCTTTCTTTTAAATACTTCTTTGCCATAATGTCTCCTGTCAGGATATCTTACAGAATATATACGTGAGGCAATAGCGGCATTTTGGTGACATTCGAAATAAACTCCAATCATATCATACAATTCTGCATTTGATATACTCATAACGGATTATTAGTACTTATAATTAATTACTAATATTACCAATATTAATGTGTATTGAAAAAAGTGCAATCTTCAATTTGGATTATAATATTACACTTTCGAAAAAACAATTTTTAATCATATAAAATAACAATGGTCAAAATAGGTATCAACATTAAGATTCTTTTGCTATAAAAAAAATTGAACGTAGCTACTGACATATTTTAATTTAATTTATAATACAGGGTGAGTCAATACTATACTTACTTATGTTTATGCGTTTTTGTTCATATCTCGAGTTCGACAAAAGCTATTAATATGCGGTTTACGCCATTTTGTTACAAATTTAATCCAGTTCCATTATATTTTACAATAAATAGGTGTTTCCATTAAACATTTTGAAGAAAAATGAATTTTAATTTTTTCTATTGGAAAGTACCCTCTACCTATGACAATTCAAGTTGAACAACTTTGTGAAGAATTACGGCCTCTTTCTAGTTTACTTATTTAACACTTGGTATAATTAGGCATATTTCTAAAAAAACTGGTTTTCAAAGTTTTCTTCACAGGTTACGCCACCTAGCGGTTAACCCAGAAACTTGAAAGTTGTTTCCAGCGATTTTTCTTGGCCACTTGTACCAAGAAATTTTTTTCCTAAAGTTATAACATGAATAGTTTCTGATATATAGCCGAAAGATCGGCTTATTGGACCACCCGGTACTGTAACTCGCGCTAACAACTTGTGGGCGTTGGTAATCTGACTCAGACGTTTACCAAAATTAACGTTCCATTAATGGATGTATAATCGATAGCCAAAGCCATAAAATAAAACTTAAAAAAATATTTACTGCAAATAAATTACTTTAAATTGTTTTGAACTTATTTGATTGTTTGTTTATTGCCCCATTCCTTATTACCAAAAAACTTCTTTACTGATTTTAAAGATGATTGCAATTTTGACTTAATATAAACTTAATACTAATAGACTTAATAATATAAACAGCGTAGGTTATTTAAATATATTATAAATATTTGTTTTAGATTATTAGATTTTCGGGAAAACGGTGACTTGGAACGTTTGCGTCGCTACTGGATGACTGGTGTTTGTAAACCTGGCAAACAAGAACATAAAAGTTCTGATCCTTTAGCTCTGGAGCAGTTCTTGTCAGCCTTTTTGTTACTAATGTCCGGAATATTACTAGCAGCACTTTTGCTTCTTCTCGAGCATCTCTACTTCAAATATGTCAGAAAACATTTGGCTAAGACTGATAGAGGTGGATGTTGTGCTTTAATAAGTCTGTCTATGGGAAAAAGCCTTACTTTTAGGGGAGCAGTTTACGAAGCACAGGATATTCTTCGAAATCACAGGTTAGTACTTTAGACATACTTATATAAGCAGATATAAATATTGAGATATATAAAAACGTTTGTAATATTTTTATTATTGCTATATGTAAAATGCTGTTGTGTTTTATCAACATTTAAGAAACTTTTCTGGTTGTAATGCTAGGAATAAGTAAAGCAAGTTTTCACAATAAAACCTTTATTTCACAAACACAACTTACACGAAACTCATTTAATTCTACAATGGAAGAGCCACTTATATTTTTATGTAACATATACATTTTTTACGAAGTACAATTTTGTATTGGTCTAAAAAGAAGCTATTCTTTCTCTACGAAATTTTATAACGAACCTTCCTTGTTTTTAACAATACGCATATATTGGAACCTAAAGATACTTAAACACACATAAGACACCTTGTGTCACTCAAAAGATAGAAGATGTAAAAGCAATATAATCGTTTATTGTGTTATATTTGCCAACAAATACTATTTACTACTTTTACTTGTAATGTAAATTAAATATGTACGGGAAGGAATGATGCCCAGAAGTTGGGTATTAGGAAGGAATTTCAGAGTTTACAGACGTTTACTATGCAACCAGGTTTTAGGTGTGTTAAGCGACACAACGGCGAGTGTTCTGACATAGGTTTATATCGCTAATTAAGGGATAGTGAAGGCAGAAAGAGAGTAAAAAGAATACGGTACTATCTTAAAGAAAAGTAGAAAAAAACTTAGTAACCAAAAGGAAAAAGGGGGTTACCTATATTTTCGCTAAATGACATTAAAACTCGGAATTCTATGCCAGAGAATTTCACAAAGAGCAATCACATTTAACTTATGCGGCCTTTATTAAAAATTATTAAAATTGTCTGCTGTTCAGGAGAAGATGCATTTAGTAGAGACAAGAATTTGTTACTTACTAATTATATTAATTGCTGGCTAAATTTTAAAAGCAGCTTAACAGAAATGTCCTTTTTATTAATACTTTTCTATACCTATTATGAACCGTTTTTCATTTATATTGGTTTTTATATGAAAATTACCCTTTTCTACCATGTATATACAGTTCGATATCCTCTAATGTAATTTGAATAAAAGTTGCCTTTTTCCATTATACCGGGTGATGTCAAAATTGGTATAAAACCGGCATTCTAAATGTTTGCCTCATTTTTTTTCAATTGTGACACCCTGTATGTAATCTATTATTATAGAAAAATATCTTTTTCACTATCGATCTGTATTATTATTTTCTATACCTATCTCTTGTAGTTTTCAAATAAATTAACTTTAGACATTTTTGTCACAAACAAAAATTCCTTTCGTAGACTGTGTGTTAATTTATAACTCTTATATTGTAAGTTAAACATTGAACAAATAAAAATCAAAGAAAATAGGCACTAGCTAATTAATGTAATAAATGTTTATAATATTACCCGTCAACATCCAATCATTTATGAACTCTTTTAATCAGATTTTCAATAGTAGTGTTTAATATTGATTCTTTATCTATTTAATTAAGAACTTACAAACTTTATTTATTATAGCTTCCTCAGTAGTGACAGGATCAGAGAACACCGTATTTTAAACTTTTTTCTTAATATAGTAATCTAAAGATGACAACGGGATCTTGATGTCCAGAGAAACGGATCTATATTAGCTATCCGTCTATGGCTAAATATTTCGTATAGCAATGTGCCGATTCCTCGAATATTGTGAGCCGGTGCTCCATCTATTTGGAACTAAGCCTCATTGGCCTTATTACTATGTAAAGTGTTCAATACTGGTACAATTACTTGCCGCTAAATGTTACAGTAACGTTCTCTGTTTAAATTTTATTCATAAACCATGAGAGCAACTATCTTAATATTTTTCACAGCAGAAAAACCATTGAACGAAAAGAATGCTTGAAATTTACTGTCCCATTTGATTTTGGAATTTAGTCACTACAGAAGTTATGGCGGTTAAACATACCATTTTTGTAAACTTTGATTCATAACACCAAATAGTTTTTTTTTTGTAAAATCTTAATCTTGGCATTTTATTAAAACGCATTTACAAAATTATTCACATCTTACATAATCTCCAGGATGTAAATTTTAAGCTGGTATATAAAGGGTCCAATGAAGCTTTTTTTAACTTCTGTGACTTTTTTGAGTCGTTACCTGTAACAATTGCTCACATTACCTTCAGGATGAATTTTGATTAGCTGAAAAATATGACCAGATATCTATTTTTAAGTCTTTATTATCGACGTGGGTCCATTTACTTCTAAACCAAAATGTATAAAGTTAATTTATTTGAAAACTGCAAGAAATAGGTATAGGAAATACTTATATAGATCGATAGTGAAAAACATACTTTTCTAAAATAACGAATCACATACAGGGTGTCCCATTAAAAAAAGAATTGGGCAAAAATTTAGGATGCCTATTTTAAACCAATTTTGAAAGCACTTTGTATAGTAAAAAAGACAACTTTATACTGCAAACGATAATGCTATATCTGGATAAACAGTTTCTAAGGAATTTAAACTTTTATTCAAATTACATTAGAGGATATTAAACTTTCTATACATGGTAGAAAAGTATAATTTTTATATAAAAACCAATAAAACTCAAAAACGTTTTATAACAGGTATATGAAAATGTTACCAAAATAACGTAAATACTTCTAAAATTAAAAATATACAGAGTGTCCCATTAAAAAAACGGATGTGGCAGTCTAGTGGGACCGCCGGTAGAAGTTATACGTTTATACACGCGTTCGACGTTACAAATTTATATGGGAGTCAATCTGCACAATCATTACGTATGTAATGCTATAGGTCAGAGAGAGCAGACCAAAAAAAAACAGAATTAGGTATATAACTATATGGTGCATCATTTGCTGTATATAAACAACATTTGACCTATAATAGGAGTATAGTAAATGAAGGATTGAATCAATATTTTGATGAAAATGTATGTTTTTATTTTCATATATGTATGAAAGGTGTTGAAGGCAAAAAAATTTTTTTACACATACTCTACAGTAAAATTTATTGTTTATTTTGTTATTAATATAAAAATACAATACAATACACTGCAACATAATTCAATATAATAATGCAATAACAAATAAAATGCCATATTCATAAGTATATAAAAATGACAATAAACATAACTTACTTACGCATATGTTTAATTTACCATGATAGTAATATTAATAAAATAAAAATATTGTTTCGTGATGAAACTGTCAATTTGTCTGACATTGACAGATACAAAAATTAATCATTGAACAAGGCCTCTCCCACCCTCTTTAACGTGTATTCTGAGAATCTATTTAGGGAAGCTTTAAAGTATCAAAAAAAAAGGGAATTATCATAGGAGGAGAAATAATTAGCAATATACGGTACGCCGACGATACTGTGATTCTAGCTAAAAACATCGACGATCTGCAGGAGCTAATCAATAGAGTTGACATGGAATGCACAAATTGGGGACTGTCGATAAATATCGATAAAACTAAATACATGGTCACCAGTAAATTGGATATCGGCGCAACCCAAATGATATTAAACCAACAACCGCTGCAGAGAGTTCAGAGATTCAAATACCTTGGATGTTGGATTTCCCAAAATCTAGATCCATCCTTCGAAATTCGATGTAGAATTGAACAGGCAAGAAACTCATTTCAAAAATTCAAGCCTCTATTATCCAATAACTCATTATATTTGAAAATCCGTGAAAAGTTTACAAGATGTTACGTGTGGTCTGTACCGATATCATGAATAAAATAGAGGCGTTTGAGATGTGGTTGTATCGAAGGATACTAAAAATTCCATGGACTAGCAGAACCAGAAACGAAGAAGTTCTCGAAAAATGGGACATTAACGAACTCTATTAAATATTAGTAAGAGGCGTAAACTAGAGTATCTTGGACATAAAATCAGAGGACCAAGATATGAGTTCCTTCGGCTAATTCTCAACGGTAAAATCGAAGGAAAGAAATGTATAGGACGGAAGAAACTCTCTTGGTTAAGGAATTTGCGGCAGTGGACAGGTTTGACAGCGGACCAATTGCTACACGTAGCGCAAGAGCGAGATCAGTATAACAATATTATAAGCATGGTAGTCGCCGACGTTCCGTAGGGATATGGCACTCTAAGAAAAAGAACAAGACTCAAGACAACTCTGAACAGAATGGAAAAAGAATAATAATATTAAGAAATGTTAAATATATTTACAAAAAAAATATTTTTATTCTCAAGAAAGAGAGAGAAAATATATCTTCTGTCTCTCTCTTACCTATATCTTACTTACATTATGATTTTCCCGATTCACTGCCTTACAAATTTCCAACGTCTAACGCAGATATAGAAGTATAACTTCAAAAACGAAGTTATAAGCAACTTCCGGTATAACCGGAAGTAGCAAATAGATAACAATATTTTAATTAAATAGTTGAATCTTCAAAACCCCTTCATTTTAATTTTCGTGATTTAGTTACATTTAGTTCTCGAGAGATTTTTAATTGGACGCGTATCTGCCGCATCCTATATAATACTGTTACCGGGAGAAAATATGCTGACCATAAATTTAATATGGTTTGTCATTTCACCAAAAGGAAGTTTAAGAAATAATAAGGAATGTATTAAGTGTTTCTTTAAGAATAAGAAAATGCCGAAGAATATTTGAAGAAGAAGAGCTATTGACTGCAAATAGAATTTTTTTGTACAGCCCAAAATCCTCACTTTGAGGAATCTCCTGTCAGCAAATGTATTGTTCACGTTATAAAATGTTATGTTTTTTCATAACTATTAATATTTCCTCTTATAATGAATTTTGATTAAAGCCAACGTCTGCACTAAAAGTTTAGTTTCTACAAAAATAAAGGTCTTTCTCTTGGCACAGCTTCATTAATCTTTCCGATTAATCACGCCCTTCTGTTCCTTGTATCTATCCAAAGTCAACTCACATAATTCATAAATTAACCTTTTCATGATTGACATTATAACATTATGTATTGATCGTTTGTTAATTATAGATGTAAAGATCCGATTTGTGATACGCACTTGTGGAAGGTGAAAAGGGAATTGGATGTCGCACAGTTAAGAATTAAACAATTGGAAAAAGAAATGGAAACACATGGAATTAAACCACCTCCACCCTGTAAGCGGTAAGTATATTTTTTCTTCTTTTTACCACAATTTACTCTTTAAATTTATTTTTTATACAACTATTCACTTAAACGCACGCAGCATGTGTTAAACCTTTTACCTATTATTATAAAGGGTGTCTTAGTTTTCTAAAATATTTTGTATAGAACGATTAAACGTTACAAAAAATTACTAAAACTATTTGCATCTACGTCAAAATCATAAAAAAAGTAAATATATAAAGCCTTTCACAATATTTGCGTCAGGCGGAAACATTTCAATTGTTTTAAATAACTTAAATATTCTTTAGTTTGAATAATACTTGTAAAATGCGTTTAATTATTATTTGAGTTTTGTCTCAAATTTTTATAAAAAGATATAATAAACAAATCTTATGTAGTAAAGTAAGTTTAATTCGGATTGAACTACTAGGATATCATATCTTATTTAATTATGAATTCAGACTATATTACATAACAATATCACATTAAGTTGTGTGCTATACTTTTTCTATGAATAGTTTTTTTTTTATAAAGAAAAGTGCTTCTTTGTGAGTGTAAACTCACGAACTTCCGGTTATGTGACATATTCGGGAATATTCGTTTTGTATACTTTAAAGTCATGTTAAATTTTATATTAGGTACTTTAAATTATAGAAAATATAAAAAAAATGTTCTCCTTTTTTTATTGTCCTTCAAAGCATACAACAACACATGATGCAAATATATCTCAAATTGATTTGAAAGATATTTAACTTAAATTGTAGCCAACATCCACACGCTATGTAACTGTTACACCAGAACTGTACCATTTGACTAAGTGCATACCAGTTTTACAGTGTATACAAAATATAAGGAAAAAGAAAAAAACAATATGGATAAACTCACTCAAGCTACTAAAGATCTTATAAATAAAAGAAGAGAATTGAAAGACAAATACACAGATAATTTTGTAACATTAAGACAGTTAAACAAAGATATTACAAAATCCATTCGAAAAGATGTCAGAAATTACAACACTGAGTACATAACTCAAGCCATTGATAAAAATAAAAGTTTAAAGGTTCTGCGCCGACAAATGACTGAAGGATCAAAAAATATTTGTAAACTTGTAAATAAAAAAGGAGAAAATTGCTCAAGATTTTTACTGAGAATTGTATAAGCGAGAAGAACTTCCAGATCCTGATCAAAATCTAATGAAGGATCATCTCGGAGATGAAAAACAATAAATCACCTGGAGAAGATGGGATAGTCATTGATCAAATCAAAGAAGGAGGAGGAACGTTACTAAATGTGTTGAAAAAGATGTTCAATGCTTGTTTGACAAGGGGCATAACCCCCTCCCAGTGGCATAATGCAATAATAACCATAATGCACACAAAAGGTGACATTTCAGACCTAAAGAACTACAGAACTATTAGTTTGCTCTCCCATACATACAAACTATTCATGAAGATAATAACAAAACGGCTTGTGAACAAACTGGATAGTTACCACCTTGTGAACAGGCTGGGTTTCGCTCCAGATACAGGACAAATGATCATCTGCAAGTTGTAAAAACGCTAATAGAAAAGTGTACAGAGTATAACAAGCCTATCTTTCTTATATTCGTAGATTACGAAAAGGAATTCGATACTATAGATCATCATAAAATGCTTCGAGCATTGGCTGACTGCCGCATTGACTACCGATATATTGCCTTGATTAAAAGTATTTACAAAACTGGTACAGCTTGTGTCCGCCTTTATGAAGATACCAAGAAGTTTCGAATAGAACGTGGAATTAGACTGGGTAATACTATCTTCCCTAAATTTTTTACTGCTGTTCTGGAATATATGTTCAAGCAAATGGAACGAGAGGATAATATGGGAATTAATATAAATGGTGAAGATCTGAACCACCTAACATTTGCCGATGACATCGTTTTAATATCTGATCGAGTTGATAAAGCTACAAAATGCTGCATACGCTCTATAAAGTGTCAAAAATAATTGGTCTTAAAATTAACACCTCAAAAACAAAATTTATGACCAACCTTGTAGTCAGCGGTAAAATTCTGATTGAGAGCCATAGCATCGACCAAGTAATAGCTTACAAATATCTAGGGCATGAGATTCGCCTAGGCCGAGATAATCAGACAACTAAAATACAAAGAAGGATAGGTCTCACATGGGCTGCCTTTGGTAGATTGAATAACATTTTCAAGTCTAGTATCCCAGTTTGTTTAAAAAGAAAGGTTGTTAACCAGTGCGTTTTACCGGTTCTTACATATGGTGCAGAAATACTGACTCTGACAAAAAGAACAATAGACAAAAAGAGTTACACAACGCGCTATGGAAAGATCAATATTAGGTATTACCATCAGAGATAAAGTACCAAACCTAAAGATAAGAAGAAGAACAGGAGTCACAGATACAGTTGAAAAAATAGCCAGGGCTAAATGGGCTTGGGCCGGACATGTTGCCAGATTAAAGGATGACAGATGGACCAAAAAGATTCTGGAATGGATTCTCGACCAAGGCAAGATGCATATCGAAGCAGAGGCCGACCACCGACTAGATGGACGGATGATATCAAGCACATCACCACAAACTGGATGCAAGAAGCTCAAGACAGAAGTAGGTGGAAAATTTTACGGGGGGCCTACGTTCAGCAGTGGACAAACATAGGCTAATTGGTGATGATGATGATGATACCAGTTTTGCTAACTTTAATATAATTAATATACTGCTCCGCAAAATTAACCTGAGGCGAGTTATTTTAAGTAAAATTAAAAAGTATTAGAAAAATTGTAATATTTTTTTATTGTATGTTTAATAATAAATCAAAAGTATAAAAAAACTCTAATATATTGATTAATTTTGCAACCAATCAAAAGTTAAAAAAAATTATTCTGGAGAAAATTATTTTTCAAATCTAAATTATAAAATAATTCTAAAATATAAATATTAAATTTGAGTATTTCTTCTTCGAGCTCAAATAATTAGTGTGCGCTCATAACAAGGCGCCGACCATAGGATGGTATCATAGTGTCATCGCCACGTAAAATAAATGCATTATTTTAAAATTTCAGCGTTTACCGTCAAAGCGCAGCGCTCAGCCTCGAGCCAGGTATCGGACCATTGACTTAGCCATAGTATTCCAGCTTTATATTTTTTCGATTCTCTTTCCTAGTACTCTACGATCGACACTACAAGGTGCCGACCACCGAGCCTCGCTGCGACGATCGTATCGATGGCAGGTAAAATAAATGCATTATTATGCGAGCGTTCACTTTGTGTGTGTGTGTGTAGATAGTGGATGGCATCAGAACTTGTCTATTTGCCACAGAAAATTTGTATTTTTTTTTTTTTTTTTTTTTTTTTAATTAAGGATAGGATAGGGATACAAAACATGGCCACTCGTTTCTTGTCTAGGGACCCATCAAGACATTTTTATTAAGACAAACTAGACTAGGTCACGGGCAGGAGGTATTAACAAATGGGGTAAAACAGAGGTTTGGATTCTAATTATATAATGTTTGTAAATACACATATATACATATTTAACCATATATGAGCTAAATTTCTATTTTTGCTTCTAAAACAAACTTGATTAAAAGGTTGTATATTTCTTTATCTTGTTGTGCTAATAAAGTAGGAATGTTAGTTGGTAGACTTACAAACTTTTTCAGTTCTTGGTACAGCATATCCGTATGTGCAGTATATTTTTGACACTCTAAGAAAATGTGATTTATATCGGCTAACGGTTTTTTTGGACAGTAAGGACAACACGGAGAATCTACGATACCAATCCTAAATAAATGAGCTGGAAAGCGACCATGATTAAGTTTTAAACGTGATATAATTGATGACTTATATCTATTATAATCCCACGAATTGATGTAAGGAATGTTTGTCGGTAAAACTGGTTGAAGTTTAAAATAAAGGTTCTCTGATGTAGTTGAAAATTTACTGTACTGAGCTTCCCATCTAACCCTAACATCAGTTTTATATAAATTAATAAGATCTGATGAGCTGCACATGTTTACTTTCAATTCTGAGTCAAGTGCTTGTTTCGCTGCGAGATCAACTGCTTCATTCCCAGTTATCCCTGAATGTCCTCTAACCCAGACTAATGTAACTCGTACACCATACTCCTGCAGTTTATATAGACTATTTTTTATAGATAGAAGAATATTTTTGTTATAATGGTTAAAAGGAGGACTTTTAATGGCGTGCAAAACTGAGAGAGAGTCTGTTACAATTATCACAGATAAAGGTAAATTCATCTCGCACCAATCTAAAGCTTTCTTAATAGCTATAGCTTCTGCACTAAAAATCGATAAATAATGAGGGACTTGATATTGCTCAACATGGTTAATATTAGAAACTAAAAATGCACAGCCTGTTTTAAATCTTTTTTTTGATCCATCCGTATAAATGATGATTTTATTTTCTCCTAAATTACAGAGTATAGATTTGAAAATTAATTTTGATAGAAATATATTATCTGGATAGTTTGGAATTATAATGGTTGGTTTAAATATTAAGGCTGGAAAATCGATTTCGTAAATAGGATATTTTTTTTGACTATGTATTAGTTCTTTATGTCTCTCAGTGTTAATAAAAGCCTCAGCAAGCGGGGGAGACGTTTTAATTCTCCAATATTTGTTTGTAAGATTCTGGACCGCTATATTTGATATTTTTTTGACCATAAATGTATTAAACGTCCTATACTTTATTAGCTGTTTATTAGATAAGTACTCTCGTCGAAGGCACAAAGGCGGTTCTTGTGCTTCAGCGAGAACTGCATAATTCGGTGATGACATCATAATTCCTAGACTTATTTTAATTGCCTTATATTGAATTCTGTCTAAGGTTAATAAGTTTGATTTGCTAGTTGAGGCATAAATAGTACATCCATAATCCATTATTGAGCGGATGTATGACTTATAAAAAGTAAGGGATATTTTAACATCTGCACCCCACTTATATTTCGAAACTGCACGCAGAATGTTGAGCCCTTTCTCACATTTTTGC